TTCTGTTATCAAAGGAAATTCTTGTCTGCTGGTTTATTTTAACTCTTGGTCGACTGCTGGTGTGTGTGTGTGAGACGGGGACAGAACAGACTAAATGGGGTTGAACTGTCCCAAACAGAGCCAATGTGCAACTTGGGGGAGGTGGGGGGTGTTCTCCTACATTCACAACTCCTGCTTGAGCAGCAAGTGGATGTGGGTGGCCAGAAGGACTTTTGCATAGCATTATGTTATGTGCCAGTCTGCCCACTCCTGGACCAAAAGGCTCTGCTCAGTATGCTCAGTCATACATGGCCTAGTTACCTCTTGAATGGACTGCTGCAATATAGTCTGCATAGGGCTTCACTTGAAGAGTTTCCGTCAGCTTCAGCAACTGGAAAACGCAGTGATGCAGGCAGTGATGTGTGTCGCTAGAATGGTACATGTTACACCTCTGTTCCGTGAACTGTATGGTTGCCAGTTTTCTTTTGGGTCTAATTCAAGATGCTGATTTTGATCTTTAAAGCCCTTCATGCCCTAGGGATGGATTATTTGAGGGAATACCTCTCCCAATTACATTTGACCATCCCATCAGGTCTGGCAGAAGCGGCATGCTGCCAGTCCCATCTGTGAAAAAAATTCAGCTGGTGGGACCCAAAAGGTGGGCATTTTCTTCCATGGAACCCACCTTGTGGAACATCATCTTCCCCCCCCCACTCCCCAAGGTGAGATTGGTTCCATCCTTGACATCCTTCCAAAGGCTCCTAAAACACAGCGGTGTCAGCAGGTATGGAGATCTCAAGGCCAGAATAAGTTGACAAAATGGTTGCATTGTTTTTAACATCAATTCACTACGGTTAATAAAAAAATATTGCTGATGCTTTTTTTTAATGTAGTTTTTAAAATTTGGATATTATTGTTTTTATTGCAAGCTAGCTAGAGTCACTTTATTGTGAAGGAGGTGGCTATATAAATGTCAAAAATGAAGAAACAAATAAATGGAATATTTTACTGTTCTTTCTTTTTGCTATCCAGCTAGGACTTCCTGCTCAGGACTGTCTGCCCCCTTCTATTTTTGCAGGCTACTGATGCTTGTTTGAACAAGAAATGTAGTCTCTCAGGTGAGAGAAAAAGCAGATAGTACAAGGAGCACTAATCATCTCTTGCTGCTCTTTGTACAAACAGGCCTTTTTAGGCACAGGCAAAATGAAGTGTCGAAAAGGAGGCTGTTTACCTTCCATTTGCAAAGCAAAGGCACTATAATTTCCTTTCTGCGTCTCTGTGTGTGTACTATGTCTGTAGGAGTCCGGTCCTCTTTCCCCAATATACACAAGCTTCAAAATAGATAGAGGAAAATTAAATCCGAAGCATTCTGCACTTGCCCAGGCAATAATTAGCATTGCCAAACCAGCGCCTTTACCTGGGCTAATCCTAACGGATTAAATCACACTTAAACTTGCTGGGTGGCTAAATTGATGATTGCAGCTTTCACTGAAATGCAACCTGTCATCATGCGAGGTATTTCTCTCTCTGTCCTTCTAGCTCCGTCTTAGAGAAGTGTTTGTTTTTCTCTTTTTCTCTCCCTGCCACCGCCTAAGGTGGAAAGCCCCAATCCGAGCTGCCTGCAAAATAAGACAAAATTTACAATTGCAACTTTCTTGCGAAAGGGCGGAGGATTCCTGCCTCTTTTATCTGTATCTGAGGTTATCATCTCTCCATCTCTCCTGCCTTGGCTCCTTCTTTTCTCCCGAGACACAACGGGAGGGAGGGGAAGAAGTCGAAGCAGATGAGAGCTGTAGCTCGGATGCCCCTGTCTGTGTTATTGTATCCATTTTCCAATGGCAACGATGTGTGAAATGAAAATTGGACAGAGCTGGCTGCTCACAGACCTGGAATTTCATACAGACTAGTGGAGGGAAGGAGGGAGGAGAGAGACAGAGAGATGTCAGGAAGGGCGGGGGGGGGGGGAAGGAAAGAGTCTTCTGGATGGCTGCACGCACCCATGGCCTGAGTAAGCCCTACTTCAGTTTAATAGACCCTTGGAGTGGAAGTACCGGGCTCATTTACATTTCATTACTCCAAATGCTCTGCTAGCTCAAGATATTTGAGAGCATTTACAGAAGCAGAAAAGTTGAAGAGAAACCCAGAAGGGTTTGTGGATTCCCTCCCTTCTCTAATTCCTTTTGCTACATTCTAGCAGCCATTTTATAAGCATCTCCTTATAGGAAATGCTGCCCTGCGTGACACAGATTTTCTCTCATGTGTGATCTATTCCCTGCCATTTTTACTGCCACAAAGACTATAAAGACTGGGGTAGAACATGGTGTGTGTGTGTGTGTATGTGTGTCTATGTGTTTGTGCGTATATGTCAGTTGCAATAATGTTATGCAGAAGTAGGTTATAATAGAATAACAGAATAAATAACAGAATAACAGAGTTGGAAGTGACTTTGAAGGTTTTCTAGTCCAACCCCCTGCACAAGCAGAAGACCCTGTACCATTCCAGACAAGTGGCTGTCCATTCTCTTCTTAAAAGCCTCCAGTGATGGAGCACCCACAACTTCTGAAGGCCAGTTATTTCATTGGTTAATTGTTCTAACTGTTAGGAAATTTCTCTTTAGTTCTAGGTTGCTTCTCTCCTTGATTAGTTTCAATCCATTGTTTCTTGTCTTGCCTTCTGGTGCTTTGGAAAATAGGTTGACCCTCTCTTCTTTGTGGCAGCCTTTCAAATACTGGAGCACTGCTATCATGTCACCCCTAGTCCTTCTTTTCATTAGACTAGACAACTCCAATTCCTGCAAGTCTATGGAGATTCTCAGTCATCCAGGTCATGGCTGTCCCAAAGGTGAAGACGCTTCTTGGAAGAGAAGCAAGAGAAACTGGACCAGAAAGTCCAGTTGCCTCTTGAAGAAACACCTTTGGGCCAATTCCTGCAACCATTTTTCATATGTTTTAACCTCCAGCCCCCTAATCATATTTGTTGCTCTTTTCTGCACTCTTTCCAGAATCTCTACATCTTTTTTATAATATGGTGTCAAAACTGGATGCAGTATTCTAAGTGTTCTTCCCTCTTTTTCCTCTTCTCTCTTACCAAACCCACGAAAGAAATGAAATGGAAAAAAAATATTCTGACCAGAATCTCTTGGTTGCTCCTGATAACGATCTGCAAAAGTATGACTAAATATTCTTTTAGTAGTCTGTAAAATCAGAAATGGTAATTTAAGAAATTACAATATCCTCATTTCAGTTTTTTCCTTTACATGAGAGAACTAGGTAATCAAACCAGGAAAGTTCATGTGATGTCCAATATTGGTAAGTTAAGTAAAGTGAGATAACCTAGGATATACAGTATAGCAACTTTAAAGCTGTCTTACCATCATGGAGTTTTAGACATACTTAAACCTGATTTTGGAGACAATATGGAGGTATGCCTACTTGCTTTGCTCACCTGGTTTTAAAGGAGAGATGGAGCTGGATTTAGTAGCATAGTACTTGATGATATTGTGGCATATTAGGTTAGGATTTCTGATTAAATGTAACATCCAAAGATGGCCAAGGACTCCTGGTGATATCACAGGGTTTATTTACAACTATGCTTAAGTACTGTATTAAAAAAACGAGTGGAACTCACAGGAGACCAACTGGAATCAAAATTCTAGTGTATGTCTGATATTCAGAAACATAAACAATGAAATGATGGAGATATTATCTCCACAGTTCAAAGACAAAGTAACAGGAGAAAATGTCCCTGAGATCTTGTTCAATTATTTTCTTTGGAACTTTGGTATTCATAGAAAGGTGTCAAAAGAGGGTAGATGGGATGCAAACTCAAAGAACCTACAAAAGAATTGGGACTTGTATTGCAAAACTGCATCTTCCATCATGCCTTTTTAGAATTTCCCTCTCATGGATATTATTTGACATTGTTTTAAAGATCCATTCAGGCAATTGCTTGTTTGCCCGGCAAATAAATGCATCTGTATTATTCATTTGAGGTAGAGGATCCAGTATATCCACAAGCAGTATTTTATTATGAAGTGAATATTCCATCTTTCTAGTAATCAAACTTCAGTATTGCATATCGTTGCTGGGAAAATGCAACCTAACTTCCTCAATCTATTACTTTTAATTCCAATGCTGTGGTTAAAGGAAATTGCCACAAAGAGGAACTCTACATTATTTCAAACATATAGAAGAGCTACAGCATATTTTTTTAAAAAAAATCTGAATTAAGCATGGGGACCTAATATAATTCAAGATCTCAATTTGTGTGGGTAGTTTTATTTTCTTTATGCCTATAATTTAAACTGGCCAAAAGGTGCTTCATTAAAAAAACACAAACATTTGAATCATTTTTGGAAATAAAATCCTCAAGCAGTCCTTCTCCCAATCTAGGTCAAGGCTATAATGAAAAATAATATATTAAACCACCACAGTTCCCTTGCTCCTGGAACCTCTTCTGGTTTATGTCATCTACAGCTTTTGCTACTATCTATTTGATGTAATCTAATTCTTCTGCAATATATGAGCTCCATTTAGAGACTTTCCCTCTTTCTGTCCTCTCCCTTTTAAACCTATCTCCAGTATCTCAGCACACCTCATGATTTGCTGATTGAAGAAGGAAAATAGAATAGCAAATCACACAGACAATCCATGAGCCCTGAGTATGGATAGGCTTTCAAACTATGTTATATTACTACCATTAGGGGGGCATCTGTTGCTCATCTGATAAAGCCTGAAACTGTATATTGCTTGACTTAAGTATTTGGGGAAAAAAATATTAGTGTTAAATCTAGGTAGGTCTCAGCTTCACCTGTACAATGCCAGAGAAAGGTATTTTCTGGAAGACTGAGGTAAGAGCCTCTGATTTTTTTCTCCAAGGAAGATTTAAGTATAATGATAATAAATAAACTCATTTAAATTTTGAGCTGGCGCATTGCTCTGAATTTTTTTGCTAAGTTGTTTTATTCTTTCTCAAATATGCAGCATAGTTAACTATCCACTCCACTATGCTCCCCTACTTACCAAGGCCTTCTTCGGACATCATACAGGTCAATCTTATTGGGGGCTCTCCATGGGGAGGCTGCAATGAGAAGAAGCAGTGAAAACTATAATGATTTTTGAGCTACCAAATGTGTGAATATGAGGGAAATTGAGGAGAGAAAGGGAGAGAGAGAGAGAGAGAGAGAGCAAAGCTGACATGGAAAGATTTCTCTGCCAGGAGTGGTATTAAGCAACAAAAACACTGGAATATGTGAAACTGGGAGGAAAAGCAGCTGTAACTTTGTGTTATTCAAATATCTACTATTGTCACAATGCACTGGCCCTGAAAGAAATGTGTCTAAGGCCCATATTAATCTGAAATGTTTAAAGGTTGGGGTTGGTTTTTTTTTTTTTTTTTTTTTTGCACACTTCAAACACTGTTCTTTGTTTTGGAACAAGTGAATTAGAAGGCAATTAACATTTCAGCCAAACACATCTCTTTTGCTTCTCCCTCCTTTGAAAATACCCATTTTGCTATTTTGATAAATAATTACAAGGTATATACAGTAATGGAGGGTATACGTTTACATCAAACTTGACTTCCCAGTTTAACCAGCAGTTTGGACCTCAGAACATTTGGCAGAACTTTTCTATTCCTGCCTCAGTATTCTTTGAAGATTCATATGAATGATATGTTTATTGTCATTTATATATATACTAGCTGTACCCGGCCATGCGTTGCTGTGGCCCAGTCTGGTGCTTCTGCTGGGCTAAAAGAGAGAGGCTGAAGCTCCAAACTCTCCACGAACATTTGGTGTGCGTGGCCAACTCGACGTCACTCACTTTCATCAGTCACATGACAGCCCCCGAGCCACGCCTACGCAGCTGGTGATTAGGGCAGAGAACCGGTTGCTAAAAAACAATAGGAACCACAAAATCCTCCCTCTCTGTCTTCCCCCCTCTCTTTGTATCTCTCTATGTCTCTCTCTCTCCCCTGTCTGTATCTCTCTATGTCTCTCTCTCTCCCCCCTGTATCTCTCTATGTGTCTCTCTCTCCCCCCTCTGTATCTGTGTCTCTATCTCCCCCTCTCTTTGTATCTCTCTATGTCTCTCTCTCTCCCCGTCTGTATCTCTCTATGTCTCTCTCTCTTCCCCCTGTATCTCTCTGTGTCTCTCTCTCCCCCTTTCTCTGTATCTCTGTATGTGTCTCTCTCTCTCCCCTCCGTCTCTCTGTATTTCTCTATGTCTCTCTCTCCCTCTCTCTCTCTTTATCTCTGTCTCTGGCCCGGCCTCTTCTGCATCCCCCACCATCGTCCTTACCTTTTCAGGCCAGGTCTTCGCAGCTCTCCGCACCACAGCAAAAACAGGCCCCCTCTGTCCTCCCTACACAGATGTTCTCTGGGGGCTCAATGGGGAGACGCATAGCAGGGAAGGGAAGGGAGGGAGGGAGGGGGTGCGGCGGGGGTTCAAGGCTGGTTTGGGGCCCGAAGGAAGAAAGTGGCAAAGCCAGGAGCCACGCACAACCCACTGGACCTCTGCTGGGCAGTTCTCCTCCCCCGCCTGCCAAGGGCAGGGGAATGATTAAATCCCCCGCTCTTTCAGGCAAAATGAAGGAGGGCCAGCCATCCTCCCTCCTGCCCGTTTCCGCCCCCCAAAGCCCCCCCAGAGCCCGTTTTCTGCCAGAGGGCAAAATTTTCATGTAGGCTCCATGAACTGCCAGACCGCCCACCTGGGAATCAAAGGCGGCTCTGGTCAAAGGTGATCCCGAGGCTCCAGTTGCCTCTATCTCCCGTTCACCGACTGGATTCGCATAGCACCGGTTAGCGGCTGGTCTTTCTGACCTCAGGGCCTGTGGTAGCGCTGGGCCAGGCACGATTTGGGCCAGACGAGGAACGGAGGGTTCCCACTCGGCAGACCCAGGCAGCCTCGTTGCCAGATGTTCTTTGGAGGGAGCCCCGAGAGGGGCTGGTGAGGGGGATGGGCAGCAGCGGCGGGCGAGGCTAGTTTGCAGGGTGGCCGGGGGAGGGGGAGGTCAGAGCCAGGCTCGGGCAGGCCCTGCCCAGCCCTAGAAGCACCGACTGCAAGGGCTTCCCAGCGGGGAGCTGGCTGTCTACCTGCTGAGTCTGGTGGCAGGATATGGCCCTCGGGCGTCACTGCCTTCCAAATGCGCAGTTTCTTGGAAGCAATATGGAGAGTCTAAATATAAGAAGCAGAAATCTGTTGAGCACAATCAGGGCTGGGAGGCTGCCGTGTTGGTTTTATGTCCAGCAGATGGTGCTGTTTTTCAATGTTTTTCAATGTTTTCCATGTTTTTACCTGTCACAGGTGTGACATGTATATAATATAGGTATATAAAAACACGCCCATAGTCAAATGCAACGTTGTGTCAAAATTTGAAAGCAATCGGTGAAGAAATTTCGGAGATGTGCAGTTATGTACAAACGGACATTTACATTTTTATTTATATAGATATGTTATACCTCTCAAGAATTCAGAACTGCATTTTCAGGCAGAGAAAGTATGACTTTATCAAAGCCAGTAGGTCTGGGAAAACAGTTAACAGCCTCAGAACTTCACATAGGTTTGCAATCCAATTTTTTATGGCCAGCAGAATACCCGAGGCTGTACTACTGAAAACCAGTGGCATGAATATGGAAAACCATTTTAAGGTTGATAGCAAGGTAGTGCAATTCTTACAGAAGGAGTAGTATTAGGATTGGTGTTTCAAAAGGCTTCACATTCTCCTTCATAGATTAGAATTGCTGGGAATTGGGCACCATTCAAATTAATTGATTGATTGATTAATTAATTAATTAAACAAATAAATATGAACCTCAATGTCCTAGTTCTCTCTAAATCAAGGCAGGCAAAGTTAGAAAACCAAATCCACTGGGTCTTTTGCAAAGAACTTTATTGCTAGTGCAGTAAAACCCAGGCTCTTGCAAGCCCATTACAGGACTTCTCCTGCACCTACTGAAATTAAGGTAGAGTTGCTTTGGGCCTCTTTCTCATGCTACTTCTTCCCCTGGGGTGAAGTAATTCTTGAGTGGTGGGCCAATTTTCTCTTTCTTTTTACCTGGGTGCTGCTAGAACTTCAACTTCTCAAATCCATGATATTCCTCATAGACATCACCTCTTTGTCCAGCATGGACCTTGGTCCTGGTCAATAATGCTGAGTGTTTCCAAAAGAACCATGGGCCTGACTGACAGATTTAAAGTAGGTTCAGCTACTTTATTTGCATAACATCCCTACTGTTATGAAAATAATTTGCATAACATCCCTAATGTGGTCCAGGTCATTGTGGAAATTAAAATAGTAGTTGGCCAACATATAAAAATCCCAGATATTTTTCCCAGGCAGGCAAATAAAAGGACACAAGCCATGCTGATTCCCTAAAAGTTGCCCATGGATGTTATAAGTTACCTCAAATGTTTGGTGTTTGACAGAGAAGAAGAGGATCAATCAACCTCCTTCTCTGACATCACAACCATGCGAAGAAAATAAGGAAGATGACCTTGATGGAAATATGCAGGAACTGTTAGCTAGGCAAAAGGGGCTGAAGCATTTTTTTTAATGCGATAACATTAGGAAATCGTTCAGGCAGATGCCTCTCTAATTCACTGAAGTATAAGAAAAAGGAGGAGATGAGTACAATCATACTTGAAAGATTCTGTTACCATAGCCAGTCTCAATAAAAGTACATTTAACCTTCCTGTGGGGTTGATTTCAAGGTCTGATCTACTTAGTGGGGCTGACATCTGGCCATACCTTGATACCCAGAATCAAAAGAAAGAGCAGAGAAATAAAGAAGGCAGAGACTTCATTATTCTCCAGCAAAACAGTGGTAAAATCCATTTTTTTTTACTACTGGTTCTGTGGGCATGGCTTGGTGGGCGTGATGTGGCTTGGTGGGTGTGACAGGGGAAAAATACTGCAAAATCTTCATTCCCACCCCACTCCAGGGGGAAGGCTATTGCAAAATCTCCATTCCCACCCCACTCTGGGGCCAGCCAGAGGTGGTATTTGCTGGTTCTCCGAACTGCTCAAAATTTCCGCTACCGGTTCTCCAGAACCTGTCAGAATCTGCTGGATTTCACCCCTGTAGCAAAGAAGCTCTTATCCCTCCTATTAAGAGGAAAAGTAACAATGATCACTCCCTAACAACGAATGGCCTAGGCCCTAGGATGACTAGGAAAGTAGTGCTTCTAATGTGAAAGCATTAGACTGTGCTGTTACTCCTACTGTAACATTTCTGAGTTCAAAACTCAACTACTTAAATGCAACCCCACTGTTCATAATTATATTTTCACCCTGTTAGTTGAGAATGATACAAACCTGGATAGAAGCGGGTTACCCCTGTAGCACTGCCAAAGACCTGCCACAGCAGAGATGGGTCTTCTTTTCGGTTTTCCACAAACACATCCTCTAAGGCTTCTGTCCAATTCAGTTCATTGAGGATTACAGTGGCTGCAAAAAAAGGGACAAGTTTAGTGTGCTTAAGGTCTAGAGATCTCTTTGACAAATGTGATTGTTCTCTGGCAAGGGAAGAATGAGAGTTGCTTTTGTGAAAGGATGTATGCCCTCCATTAGCAGGATATATTCACTCCATTAGGAGAGCTGTGAAAAGTGACATCAGCTGAAGGATTGTTCCTGGCAATTCCCAGCATCTCCTGTGGAGCTGATTATTATCAATTTGTCACAACAACATAGCTGGATGCAGGCTATCTCTCTTCAATGGGACCATTCTTTCACCTCTTGTTTATATTGCTTATTTACAAACCACCTTTCTATCAGAGATGGAATAAGAAGTGCCTAATAATAGTAAAAAAAGAATGGAAAACAACTAAAAGCCAAATAAGAGCATACCCCCAAAGAGGCCCCTTAAAACTTCATTAAATTAAAACAGAGTTTAAAATTCAGAACAGCGGGGAAAAAACCCCCCAAATCAATTCTGTAAGCTTAACACCTGTATAAAGGTAAACGCTTTTGCCTGCCAACAGAAGGCCAGCCATGAAGGACACTATCAGCGCTATTATCAAGGTAATGATTTCATGAAAATACCATGCATAAATGGGTTTATATAATCAAACATCAACCGGTATGTATTAAGAGCAGTGATAATCAATTGACTATATCTGAGATGACGTCCAAAGAGACATGTGTGGTATAAATGTTTTAACGCATTAGATTTAATAACTATGTAGCCAAACTTTATACACAGAACCATGTGAGATGCTCTTAGGCTAGAATAAGTTGAAACGGAGACCATTTGATAGTGTGTACACTAAAGAATTAGTCCTCTGGCATAGTGTAATTTGTGATGTGTCTCATATAATGTAATATAATATGATTATAACATAATATAATAATATAATATACAGAGAGAGATTAATAAAAGAGATTAACTACAAAGTGCCTATGAATTATCAAAATTTGAATTGAGCCCTACCACCAGATGTAACCATTTTTAGGGTTGCGCAATGTCCATCTGAGACCTGGAAGAGGATGGGGAAATGCTAGCTGGTAACTCAACCCACACCATCTCCATGTACATTGATAGCATCCAATCTGAGAAGATGATGGCATTGTAGTATGGAAGTCTATGTGCGCCTCCTCCTTCTTGGTGCTCTCACAACCAACATTTGGTAGTGCAACTTTAAGGCTTAGTAAGATAGTTTGCAACACTTTTAAAACATCAACAGGGTAGCTAAGGGAAAGGATATTTTTGTCTGTGTTTTGAAGACTTGGAGCATTGTTTAAAAATGTGGTTTTATCCCTTTTTTAATCCTGGTGATCCTGACTACTGCATCCCTCAGCTCAACTCATAGTTCAGAGATAAGTAAGCAAATATTATTCATCATGCTGACGGAGGCTGATGGAAGCTAGAATCCAAAACAAGTGAAGAACTCTAGAAATTTTCCTTTCCCCACTTTCACTAGGGATAAATCTACAATGTCTTACCCTCTTCATGTCAAACTGTTTCTAGTTCCCCAGTCCTTGCCCAATACTCCCCATTACATCTGCAGAGATCTTTGACTGCATGACAATTTTATGGCCATCTTAAAGCCTTCCCAAGAATAAGAATCCATGTACCATGACAGACATTTGTCCCTTTGGTTCCCCATATAGATGGGAAATATTCTGTTGGCAGCCAGGTTTTGCCCTCCCTAAGCCAGTTCAAAAGAGATGCCATATGAAAGAAATAAAGGGACTCTACTGAAGTTATTCCCATTCTGCATTCCTGGTGGCTTTTGTATCTAATGCAAAAGCAATTAAGACGCTGACAAACAGAGGCTTTAAATTATTCAGCTATTAAGGAAAGTGATAAGCTCAAAGCAGCCTGACTGTATGATTAATCAGCTGGGGCTGGGATTTAAGCAATGTGTAGAAGAGAGACATTTGGTACTTGTCGCTGCCAGCCTGCTTTTTTTCTCTTTTAAAGGAATCTTCCACTCCCAAAAAGGTGCCAGTAACAGTACTCGGGGGAGAGAAAATCCTGGAAAGCAGCAGCTGAGAGGAGCTGGCAGCTGGACGATTGGGGAGAGAGATGAATTTTGAGCACAGGCTGGCAAGATGAACAAGAAATACCAATCCCACTGACAATCATTGTTCTACTCAACCTCTCATGTGCATTTTTAAGAGATCACATGTCACTCTTCCCTGACAGAGGACATCAGTATTAAAAAGCAGTCAAGGTAATACACTTGAAATATTTTACAAGAGAGCAGCAACTAAATTTCCATCATTTTATCACCAAGGAAATGGAAGACAGCTTCATCACATTTAGTCACAAGTCCAAGATATTACAAAATATGTTAGCAGGCCCTGGAGTCATGCCCAAAAAGATGGATACAGGAGAGAATAGCATTCCACACCTTTGTTAGCTCACACGAACATCCCTTCACCTCCTGATGCAGTCTCCTGATGCAGCTCCTCTGGGAAATGCTCAAATGTATTATGTATGAATTCTGGGCCAATTTCCTACGTATTCTCTTCAATATATCCATTGTCCCCGTTGGCTTCCCCAGCAGCTATACTGTTCATTATACAAATATATTTCGAAGAGTATAAAGGCACCACTCTTCCATGTGTACCCGCAGGAGGTAGAAAAGATCAGATCTTTGGCCTTCACTATTTGGAATGTGGACCGGAAGAAATTTCTCATTCACAACCGTGCCAGAATACTAAAATAAAACGGGAGACTCTACTTTCATTAAGTATTATCATTGAATTATATCCAGTTCTCAAGTTATTCCAGGTTCTTCAAGACAGAATGGTTGTGAATGTGAGCGTTTACACATACAGTATTGAGCTTTGTATCATGTTATGGAGACATTGCCTCTAACTGTCTGGGGATGATGGGCTCAAGTGGTATTCTGAAAACATACGGGCTGAACTCTCTTGTAAACTGGCTGTTGAAGGAACATTGTGAGCATTTTTCTGTTCACAGCAGAAATTCCTTAGGAAAAAAACAACTTGGATCAAAAAGCAATGGGAGCTTGTATGTGTTCTCATCCTTTTGGAGCCCACTGTTTTTTTTTTGGCTCTGGATTAGGCAAGTGCTGGTTGTTGCATAAACAAATGTCATGACATACATTGAGAAACAACATCTAATCTCCTGTGTGCATTTAGTTCTATGTTATCTTTACTACTGTCTGATCTAACCCCACAGGATCATTACAGATCATTTGCTTGACCACAAAGACAGAAAAATCAGTGCTTGTTGTTAATTCTGCTTAAAGAAATCTACTAGCTTTCTTCTAATTGTGACAACAGTTCTGGCAAATACAGTTTCAAGGATCTTTGAAGATTAGGCATTTATGCTGGCTAGATTCCTAGTGGAACTGCTCACAGATAATTATTTAGGGGGTTGGCTTCTTGCTCATTCCAATTCTTTTTGGAGTGAAATAAAAAGAAACCTGGTAAAAGCGCTGTCAGTTAAATGTTTGGAACATGTATCTCTCAACATTCCAGTTCAATGGATTGTGGAAGCTCTTCTCTAATGCAGCACAGTGCCTATCAGAAACCTGTTACATATTGCTGGACGCAAACTAGAGGGCACATTCTGGTTGAATCAATATGATGTTTTTTTCTCTTCTAACGGTAAGCAATGATTAAAACTAAACGACCTGCAGGCGTGCTGGAATCCAAGGAATGTAAGGTGGAACCGAATCAAATATAAAGTAAAACATAGGAAACCCCACGGGACAAACAAGCAGCTCTGATCAGAGGGTAATATAGTATATAAAACAATCAGGAACTTGATATAGATACTGCAGTTTACCAGAGTATGGAGTGCCCTTCCTCAGCTTGGTGCCAGCTAGAAGTGTTGTAGTCCAGAATTACCAATTAGAATGCCAAACCAGCCGACAGTTTGGAGAATACCTGATGGGGAAAGGCTGGTTTGAGAAATGTAATATTCTATTAATGGTAGAATGAGGAAGATCCAACTGTTCCTTTGACCTTACATCTGGAGTAAAAGTGGCAAATATCTCTGACACAGCTGGAAAACAAGATGCTATAGCCCCACAAACATTTCGAAGTAAAATCCACATATAGTATATCTGAATTTTGAAACAACTTGTTCTGCTGAAATAGGGGTGGATATGCAACTGAATTGCTGGGCTACTGAAGGAAAACATTGGTTATTTGACAGCTTTTTTCCTCAGGGTATATGAGAAACAATCTCATGGGAATTTGTTCCATGAAAGTTTCTTCTAAGTGATCTAAAGTTGCAGCAGAACTCGTCGAAATGTTTAGTGCATTTTTTGCCTGAAGGATACAGGATACCCCAAACAGCAATTGACGTCTAAAAGCTTTGCAAGGGTTCAGAATCTTGGCAATGAGCCTTAGTGCTTTCCATTGCTGCATTTTCAAATATTAGACTCTATTTGTGCCTCATTTCCCTTAATAACTGTAATGTTCTGCCTGGTAGGCTGGATTTGATGATAAACCTGTTAGTATTAGGCTATCAGTCACTGTACTGTCATGGCTCTTTTATAACGCTTACAGATAAATAAAGGGGGCCCTTAACATTTAAACAACATCAGCACAGTTTCTTCCATCTTGGGAGAAGGATTACTGTATTAGTTCTGTGAGGTTTGTTCAGGCAGGGAAAACACAAATACATTCCCTTTTCTCCCTCTTCCTTTTCCATACATCAAGGACGTATGGGGTGAGGTGAAAACACTTCTCCCTCTTCAAGCACCTGATGTAATTTGCAACCTCATTTTTTTCGAAGATTCACAACTTGCACAATCTCCATAGGGTTTAGTATGATATGCAAATAGAAACAAATGAGTTTATTTGTGGTTTCTTAATGTGACTTGCTTAAGCTGTGAACCAGTCCAGAGGCTACAGCAGTTAAAAAGGAGAAGGAGGAGGAGGAGTAGAAGGAGTAACAACAGCTAAGCAGAAACATTATGTATAGTTTGCAAAACTGCGCAACTGACTTTTATTTCTTGCTT